TATGGAGCTTCAAGCTACAAAACGCTCAATTGTGAATGCAGCCTAATAGGGAACTAGCCCCTCAGCTTTGCCCACTGTCAGTGTCACTGGTTGCTAGGAGGCTGTCAGCTGTACATCCTTAAACAGTGACATGTGAGGAGGGGAGGAGGTAGCATTGACAAAAATGGCACTTGCTACACAACCTGTCTCTGTACATCAATTTACAGTTGGCCTTAATTACCTCCAGTTTCATTATCTAGGAACTGGAGGCAATTACTATTGAAGTTGGCTCTGTAATAGTGCAATTTAGTAACATGAAACTAATATAAAGACACAAAATATAAATAGCACATTTTATTGAATAATATAAAATATATATAAAGAACAGGACCCTCCCATAAAAACAATTAATAGCATAGACCTCTCAGTACAGTGACTCCCAAATACTTCTTCCTTCATGCGAGTTGATGTATATGACATACATTCATTATCTTAGATAGTGATAGACAGAATCAGGAAGGTATAATGATGGTGTCCGAACGCGTTTCACCAAATAGGCTTCTTCAGCAGGGGTTCAAGAGCAGGGAGAAGCCTATTCGATGAAATGCATTAAGAATAAGAATACCTCCATTTTCTTATTCGGGCAATAAATATTTGCTAATGTACAGTCTATTTCTTGTAATTTTCCCTTCAGAAACAGAAATCTCCCTTCGGGATCTACCAATCTGTCTTCCAGCTTAAACCATATATTTTTCGCAAAACCTATTGCCACTCCCTTGGCACGTTTAATTGGGGAATCTGCATAAAACAACATTGGATAATATCTGGAATTTAATTTCACATTTGATTCTTGAACCAAATGTGTCTCCTGTAAAAAAAACACTGAAGAAATCTATGTTGAATTTCTTTAAAAATCCCAAATCTCTTCCCAGGGCTATTTAACCCTTTAACAATATAAATCACAAAGTAAATCTCTTCCATTCTTCTCCTCTCCACACCTTTATCTTCCCTATCTCTTCTCTCTTCCTCTTTCCTCCACATCTTCTTTTTTGATCTCTAGGATTTCTCCAGACTGATGTTTTCTCCCACTATTTTGCAGAGTCTTAAACTACCTATCCCCTCCCCATACCCTCCTATCACCCACCCCTCCTCCCTCCCTCCCACTCCTCTCCCTTCCGTCCCCCCGTCCCCCACCCCCCCCATCTCCCTTTAGGCTTACATTTTGCCTATGAATCATTTGTGGTCCTAACCCCACCTTTGATTCAGCTTTAGGTTGTAACAAGCATGCACACAGTGAAGGACACAGCCTCCATTTTGTTAAGAATCTCCATTTTCTCCCCTCATTCTTTCCCCCCTCCCTCTCTGAGAGGCACAGTGACATATGGCAGAGTGTGTGTGTGTTAAAAGTGTCACAGGCCAGAGCCCAGCAGGGGGGCTACTGCTATAAAGCCCCAAGGGAGCTGGGGCCTCACTGTCCAAAGAACCTGTAAAATGTAGCACCTCGTAAAGAGATAACTCAGCCTTCCCAGGAGTTCAAGGCATTCCAACGAAGCATGAATCAAATAAACACTTTTCAAAATCCATTTTTCCCCTATGTCTCATATCTTGGAATATGCGAGACTTACATAAAAAAACAGACATATCGTCAGATTGGCTAAGAGGAGACGAACAATTTGATGGGTCACTCTCCTTGTCTCGAATACATAGGAAAGCAGAAAAGTAGATCTCATGAACCATTCAGTGTATAATTTCATAATTCATATCTAATCAATCCTCAGACGTGTCTGCATAATAATCTACCCACGGGTGGAGTGTCACTTGTGCATAGGAAAAGTTATTAGCCAAATGTGAACTACACAAGATTCTGGTCCTAGTTTAGGGCTACGCCCAGACCTCCACGCCCTAAACGGGCTATTGGTCCTTGACTTCAGAGGCACCCCCTGCTGGGGAACTACAAATTGGGCTGTCAGGCCTAAGAAAGAAAAGTTGAAGAATTCTCCCATTTTAACATCAATACCACCTGGGGAGACCCGTACCCTTTCGCTCTGAAACTTGATCTGCTAACCCAGGACTTTGGCAACTACTTTACCTCTCCCTGTTATCTCTTTGCTGTGCTGTTGTTCTCTGTATATTTATATATATATTTGTTACATCTTTGTTCTGTAAATATTTTATTGCACCCCCTTTTGAATTTTCAGTAATACATCTTTCCTTCTGAAAGTGTTGAACTGCTTCTATAGCTCTTAATTGCAATTTACGAATTCCTGCCTCTAAAGAGAACGCTACTGTGTTTGTTTAATCCTCCTCCTTATAGTGTTATAAACTGAAATCGCCGAGTTTCTTCTTTCTCTGTACAAAAAGGAGGTGGTGGCAGTGTGAAGGGTTAATTGCGTAATTAACTTGACCCAGTAACAATCGCATTCAGGCTGCCGGTACATAGATTGTGGTCCAATTAGCTGGAAAATCGTTGTTCACGGTGCAGCTGGGTGTGGCATTGTTACGCACGTGACATCGTGGTTTCAGATGGGCCAGTCCTTCGGTCACAAGTTTGGTGAGAAGGTCAGGGGTCTGACGCCGCATTTGTCACATATTGGTGACAGCGATCGTGGGCTCGTCGTATAGGTGATGCTCTGACCATGAACTTTTCCCCAATAAGCGTGTCTCATCTTCCGTGTCCTGCCATACTCTAGTAAACTTCAAAGATCATAAGAGAGAGGCAGAAATGGAGGGAGAGAAAGAAAAAAAAAAGGGGGAGAGAACCCCCCCCTCCCATCCTATTCCTCTACTATTCCTACTCTCTATTTCTCCTTAGAGCTACCTGCCTCCCCTCATTTTCCATAGCCCACATTTGTCCTTCTTCTTCCTCCCAACCAGGGATATTTATTTTCTGTATATCAAGTCTCTCACAAAAGTCTCTCAGATCTTCAGGGAATCTCAGTCTTGCTGAACGTCCATATCTCCATCTGATCAAACATGCTGGAAACCCCCAGCTACATCGAACATTCTGTTTTCTCATCTGTTCCAATATCAGTTTCAAAGTTCTCCTTCTTATTAATGTTTCCGCTGCTCAGCAAAGATCTGTATATTTATTTCTCCATATTTTATTATTGCTTTTCCTTTTATCTTCTTCCAAAGCTCTTTTTTATCCCGAAAATTATGGAATTGCACTATTACATCTCTTGGCTTTTCCTTTCTATCTTCTTGTATGTATTTTCCTATTCTATATACTCCCTCCATTTTGAGAGGCTCTGTTATAGTTCTATCCATTATAGTATTCAGCATTCTCGTTATTATTCCCGTCAAATGTTCTCCTTGGGAGATCTCTGGAAAGCCTTGTATCCTTAGATTGCATCTCCTATCCCTATTCTCCTGATCTTCTAATTTATATAGCAGATTTCTTTGTTCTTTTCTCATTTCCATCGCCTGTTTTTCTAAATTCTGTATAATTTTGGCATATTTATGGATGGTGCAGACATGGGGGAAACATGAAAGTTGATGGCTACAAAGAATAAAGACGTTGAGGTAAATGAGTGTCATAGGGGAATGGCATGGAGGATAAGGGCTGATAAAGAACAATAAACTGACATTTTGATTACAGTGGTTAAAATAAGCTGGTAGGAAAAGATGAACTGTGTTACAAAGGAGCAAATGAACAAGTAAAAAAAATGCCTTTTGTAGTAGGCTTGTAGGGGAGTATGAAAGCTAAATGTGAGATGGCTGTGTAATGCTGAGGTTAAGATCAATGTACAAGGTGTGGGGGAATTTAAATCCTGGAAAGCCTGTGGTGTAGAACTATGGTGATGAGTCACACTGTCATTCACACTTGAGCGTGTTCTGATTTGCACTGACCTGGGTGGCAGACCAGTTGACTCTTTACGAAGTAGTAGAAGAAATAACACGTGCGTTGCGCTATTGGTGGAAAATGAGTGACAGGAATCTGGAGCAGTGGATTAACATCATTAAAATTTGTGTGAAAATTAGCAAAAGTGTGAGTAAAACTTTAGCTCTGTTACAACAGGCATTTGGTGAACATTCCATGAGGAAACCAAGTGTTTTTGAATGGCATAAGCGGTTTAAGGAGGGACGGGAAGATGTCCACCCTGATGCAAGAAGTGGACAGCCAGTAACGCAAAGGATGATGCAAATGTGGACAGAGTGCAAACTCTCATACTCTCATGCTGGTGTGATAGGGGATAGTTTACTATGAGTTCATAAAACATGGTACAAGGGTCAATGAACATTGTTACTGAATTTGTTATTGAAATTCAGAAAAGGTTATGAGAATCTGTTCCGAGAAAAGAACCAGAATTCTGGCCTGACAAGTGAATTCTCCACCATGACAATGCTTCTGTACAAACATTTTTTTTTACAGTCCATTCGAGGAATTAAATTGTCACCTGTCATATGTCACATTTCTCATAATAAAGACAGTGAAAACCTGAGATACTGAATACAATACAATGCTTGTTGCAAATTTGAGATACCAAGGCTCTTCTAAAGCTGCAGCACAATACAAAATAGAGACAGCAACAGCTACAACCGTATAATGTACCATATTTTTCGCTCCATAAGACGCACTTTTTTCCCCCCCAAAAAGGGGGGAAAATGTCAGTCCATCTTATGGAGCGAATATGGAGCGGCCGGTCCGGTATTCCCACCGTGTCAGAATACCGGGCCGGCTGTCCGTCTCTTCTCTGCAGCAGGACCTTACCTGTTCCTTGGTCCAGTGCTACGAAGGCTTCCCACGTCGGCATCTTTAGTGTAGGCTCTTGGCTGTGATAGCCAGGTGCCCAGTGCACATGCGCGAGAAGCGCTGTGGTTTGTGAATAGTACGGAGTCTTCTGGGACACATGACAGGTCCCAGAAGACGCCGGACCAATCACAAAGCGCAGCACTTCTTGCGCATGCGCACTGGGCACTCGGCTGTCCCACACTAAAGGGACGACAACTCCATGGAAGTGGGAGCGGGTACCTGTCAAATTCAGGTACCCGCTCCCCCTCCCTCCCCAAAGGTCCATAGTCTCTGGTCATCCCCTGTACTGTCTGCAATCTCTGGTCATCCTCTGTACTGTCCGTAGTCTCTGGTCATCCCCTGTACTGTCTGTAGTCTCTGGTCATCCCCTGCATTATCTGTAGTCTCTGGTCATCCCCTGCACTGTCCGTAGTCTCTGATCATCTCCTGTACTGTCTGCAGTCTCTGGTCATCTCCTGCACTGTCCGCAGTCTCTGGTGATCCCCTGCACTGTCCATAGTCTCTGGTCATCTCCTGTACTGTCTGCAGTCTCTGGTCATCCCCTGCACTGTCCGCAGTCTCTGGTGATCCCCTGCACTGTCCGCAGTCTCCGGTCATCTCCTGTACCGTCCGCAGTCTGTGGTCATCTCCTGTACTATGTCCGCAGTCTCTGGTCATCCCCTGCACTGTCCATAGTCTCTGGTCATCCCCTGTACTGTCCGCAGTCTCTGGTCATCCCCTGCACTGTCCGCAGTCTCTGGTCATCCCCTGCACTGTCTGCAGTCTCTGGTAATTTCCTGCACCCTGTCCGCAGTCTCTGGTCATCCCCTGTACTGTCTGCAGTCTCTGGTCATCCCCTGTGCTGTCTGCAGTCTCTGGTCATCCCCTGAACTGTCCGCAGTCTCTGGTCATTCCCTGTACTGTCCGCAGTCTCTGGTCATCCCCTGTACTGTCCACAGTCTCTTGGTCATCTCCTGTACTATGTCCGCAGTCTCTGGTCATCTCCTGTACTGTCCGCAGTCTCTGGTCATCCCCTGCACTGTCCGCAGTCTCTGGTAATTTCCTGCACCCTGTCCGCAGTCTCTGGTCATCCCCTGTACTGTCTGCAGTCTCTGGTCATCCCCTGTGCTGTCTGCAGTCTCTGGTCATCCCCTGAACTGTCCGCAGTCTCTGGTCATTCCCTGTACTGTCCGCAGTCTCTGGTCATCCCCTGTACTGTCCACAGTCTCTTGGTCATCTCCTGTACTATGTCCGCAGTCTCTGGTCATCTCCTGTACTGTCCGCAGTCTCTGGTCATCCCTGTACTATGTCCGCAGTCTCTGGTCATCCCCTATACTGTCCGCAGTCTCTGGTCATCTCCTGTACTGTGTCCGCAGTCTCTGGTCATCTCCTGTACTATGTCTGCAGTCCATTGGTTCAGAATATTTTTTTTCTTGTTTTCCGCCTCTAAAACCTAGGTGCGTCTTATGGTCAGGTGCGTCTTATGGAGCGCAAAATACGGTACTTGCTTCACATAAACCAAAGGTGTTGCTTTATTTATCATTTGTACTTTTATAAGATATTTTATTCAAACAATCTAATTATTAAGAATTTATTAAATAAATATGTTTTTTCTGTCCTATGGCTATTCCCTACTCGGTTTGACTAATTGCACCACAAGGACAATTTGCGATTGCTTCCCCTGGACTTTTATTACTGTAATTAAAGAAAATATGATTCAATGCACAGTGGACATAAGAGATCATGTTATCAGACTTGGGAATACAGGTAGTTATTATCTTTGGGTCTCTACACAGTATGCGTGTCCTTTTATAAGACCATAGTGACTCTTGATAAATTAAAAATGATTCTGAATGATTTTCCCTGTTGATTTGAAGTATTAAGTTAACCATAAATGGCATAATGACTTTAAAACACGAGAGCTTCCACCCACAGTGGAGTTTGGGGTATAAAACTATATAATTTGAACAAAACAGTTACCATATTAAAATGCACAGTACTGCTATCACCATCTGTAAGCTCCTCCGTCCCATGTGCAGTGTCCTCAAGACAAGGATCGCTGCATGCAGGACCATTGCTCCTATAGTTTTACTGATAAATCCTGCATGCTGTCTCTAATCTTGTGATAAGGATAATAGGCATTATATATTGACATTACATGGAACACTGTTTATACTATGAATTATGGACATCAACTATGTTTTTTCCGATGGGAATATGAGCGACAGAAATTCTACTGAAGATGAAGAAAAAACTTCCTTGTCCACAAGCACGACCATATTCTTATATATCTTTATACCACTCATTACTTCAGTCACTGTCCTTGGTAACATTATTGTCATTTTATCTTTTATTATTGACAAACGACTAAGAAACCAAAGTAACTTTTTCCTCCTTAATCTGGCTATCTGTGATTTTTTTATTGGTAAGTATTATTTTTTTCTTTTATCATTTTATACTGAAATACAGAGATGGACTTTTAAATCTTTATAGAAACACGTGTATTAAATTAAGTACCTCTTGGGTCAAACACATTGAGATAGCGACACAAGTATTGCATTCTATTTAAATAATGCCACTATCAAAATATGACACTGCAAATGCTGATTGTACATTTTTATCCATGTTATTGAACCATACCTAGTTGTTATTTTAGATTTTTGGCAATGAGGGGTCTGGTATGAAAAGTTATTAAAAGCAAGCTGCAATGAAAGAAATATGGAAGCTGCTTTAGATGCCTTCTCTCTCTGAAAATGCTGGTTGCCTGTCATGTTGATATAATGCAGCGGTTCTCAACCTGTGTGTCGTGCCCCTTTGGGGGTCGAACAACCCTTTTACAGGGGTCTGCTAAGACCATCGGAAAACACATATTTCCAATGGTCTTAGGAACCGAGACACCGCTCCTCTATATGTCTCCATCAGGTTCGCCCACATGCAGATATGCCCACATTTCCCTGGACCGCGATCTGTGGCGGGGATGACATGCCACCCCTGTCATCTGGCTACACCCCCGGGATCACTCAACAGCTCTGCCTCCTCGCCGGTGATTGGCCGCCGGAACTGTAGCTCAGGAGAGGCACACAGGCGGCCAATCACCAGCGAGGAGGTGGAGCTTGGAGAGGAGGAGCCGAGCGGCAGCGCAAAGATCAAAGAAGATCGAGTGAGGGAGCGGCCGGAGAAGGAAGACAGCTGACCGGTAAGTGTCTGTACTATGCAGATGGTGCTGCTGCAGCCAGATATGCTGGCTGTAGATGGGAGAGGGAGGGAGTGAGCCCAGGCTGGAGCAGGGGTCAGCAAGGTAAGTATCATTGGTGTCAGTGGGAGGAATAGTGCCCAATCATTGGTGTCACTAATACCAATGATGGGGCACTATTCCTCCCCCCACTGACACCAACGATGGGGCACTATTCCTCCCCCCACTGACACCAACGATGGGGCACTATTCCCCCCCCCCACTGACACCAATGATGGGGCACTATTCCTCCCCCCACTGACACCAACGATGGGGCACTTTTCACCCCCCCACTGACACCAACGATGGGGCACTATTCCTCCCACACTGACACCAATGATGGGGCACTATTCCTCCCACTGATACCAATGATGGGGCACTATTCCTCCCACTGACACCAACGATGTGGCACTATTCCTCCCATGGATACCAATGATGGGACACTATTCCTCCCACTGATACCAACGATGGGACACTATTCCTCCCACTGACACCAATGATGTGGCACTACTCCTCTCACTGCAAAATTATAGTTATGAAGTAGCAATGACAATCATTTTATGGTTGTGGGTCACCACAATATGAGGAACTGTATTAAAGGGTCGTGGCATTGGGAAGGTTGAGAGCCACTGATCTAATGGCTTCAGCGATTTTCAAGATGCTAGAATGGGTAAATCGATCACAAACTCTGTTTTAATGAGACTTGAAATGCTGCATGCTGGTTGTAGGTCAATAACTCAAAAAGGATTGACATCACAAACAGGCAACTGGCATGTTCAGACAGCCAGGCGCTTGGCATTTTCAGAAGGCGGTCACCAATTGCTGTACAGTTTTTTGTGAAAAATATTCAAACTTTTTCCAGATCACTGTCTTTGGCTGTGAAATTATTTTGTTGACTGCTTGTAGCTACCTATGTACTCTGAGTGATTCAGCAGCACTGGGTGTAGAAACCTGAGCATATGAGGAGCGTGTTAGAATAACCTTTGGTAAATATTGCAGATTAGCTTGAAGCTGACACTACACAATCTGCTTGGTCAATCTCATTTAGATCTACCATCAACTACAGACTGTAAGGGCCCGCATGATTAGATTCAAATTCATTGGATTGTTTAGGTTTGTGCTCATTTTACTTATTATTGGTACATTTAAATGAGCTTGTATAGAGATTGTACAATCCATTTGTGGTGTGTATGGTCAACAACTATAGGTCACGTGCAGTTGTTTTTTCTGTTCATTATCTTATATGATGCCTGTCTTTTTAATGTTTTTATTTTGTGTTTTGAGATTATTTTATTTGCAAATTGCATCTTATATAACATGTGTATCTTCTTATTTACAAGGTGCATTTTGTATACCTGTGAGTGCCTCATTTATCATAACTGGCAAATGGACACTTGGTAACTTCCTCTGCAAGGTTTGGTTAATAGCAGACAACCTTATGTGTACTGCTTCAGTGTTTAATATCGTTCTCATCAGTTACGACAGGTTTTTGTCTATTACCCTGGCAGTAAGTAATTTATGTTTTTTTTAATTAAAATACAAATCTTCATAGTTTACTAGGATGGTTGAGCAATTATCTAAAATCCTAATAGCATCCTTAAAATAGATCCCTGTTTGCGAAGCACCAGCTTCTACACAGTGTCTGTCTATCTATCTATCTATCTATCTATCTATCTATCTATCTATCTATCTATCTATCTATCTATCTATCTATCCATTCATTTTCATCTATCTGTCCCTTTCTCTCTAAACTACAGCTCACTGCTTGTGATAGAACGACCCCTGCATATAGAAGGCCACAAATGGAGGGCCTTTTTACTGCATACAAGAGGGAGCTACTGTATAGTACAGAGGGCACCTGGCAATGCATTTTAGTCGCTGTTGGGCAGAAGGATATCCTGTCTGACAGTGACTGCATAGTTCTATAGGTGGGTAATCCCTAAACATCAGTTTGAGGGATGGGGGTTGCAATCCCAGTGACCACAATGATGGAAAACTTTTCCAATGATCCGGCACTACTCTTAGAGACTCCCAACACATGGGCATTTTGTGCTCCCACTATTTATCAATGCAGGTCCATTTTGTACTCCCACTGACCTCTGATGTCAGGTAATATTTTTCTTTTCATACTGTCCATAGTTGGGGAGCCTAACAGTCTGACAGATAGTGAACTGGCCCTTTTGACCGATATTCAGGTAAATCAAACCTTCTAGCCAATGTGAGTTAGAATGTGGACACTACTCAGCATTCATAGTAAGAAATTGTACAATACATGCAATTGGCTACCATGCACTAACCTAGTATAGAAGCTTAGAGACCTAGACACTACAGATAATCTCAATTTGTTGCACTCCATGTGAGATTTTTTTTATTTTTTTTTTTATTATGAGGTGACTTTTATTGGGCATGCACATGGTTCCTTAAAGCCTTTAAACTCTCTCTTGTAACTTTTATGTCCTGTGCTATAGCTATTTTCATATAGAGTGCATATGCACACATGCTGTCATATCACCCGGGGCTGCACAGTGGCTTAGTGATTAACACTTCTGTCTTGCTTGCATCACTAGGGTCAATGGTTTAAATCCCAACTATGATACTACCTGCATAGAGCTTGCATGTTCTCCCTGTGCTTGTGTAAGTTTCTTCCCACACAAAAACATTTTACAAACAACTCCATTCTAAAACCTCTTTCTAAATTTCCAGCAATGTGCTGTGATAAAGTTACTGGACAATAGGCACTGATGAGACAGCACTAATAGGCTGCACTGATGAGGCAGCACTGATGAGGCGGCAATGGTGGGCATTGATGAGGAGGCACTGATGATGGGCACTGACAGGCGGCACTGATGGGCACTAATATGTAGCACTGAAGGGCACTGACTGGCGGCACTGACATGCACAGATTGGCAGCAGTGCTGGGCAGCACTGTAGGGAACTGATGGGCAGCACTGTTGGGCATTGGTGTGCAGCAGTGTTGGACACTGATGGGCAGCACAGCTGGGCACTGATAGGCACTTTTGGGGCTGCACTGATAATCAGTAAACATTATAGGAGGTTTCCCGCATAATTGCCAACATCCCTTGTATGAAATTCAATCAAGAAAAAACTCCCCTTATGGGTGGGATTTTTTTAGGCAATATATAAACAACGTTTAAAAAGACAATTTTGATTAACCTTTATTACATAATATCAAAAATATAAAACATAGTAGTTACCACATGTCAGACAGTTATTATTGCAAGAATGGTATACATTTGTCATACAAGCAGAGATACTAGACTGAGACACAGCTTCTTCTTCAGGGGTAACTCTGCATACAATGCGGTAAAATCTGTAGCAAGATTGAAAATATAAATTTTTTAGTTATACTAGAAAACCTTTCTTATATATTATCAATACGGCTGAAATTTTGTGATACAGCGCAACCAAGATAAAAAATTATTGAGAACAGTATGACCATATATCACCATGTCCAATCACCCTTCCTTTGGAAATAGAGGAGGGAGGGTGTTGGTTCCCCCATACCCCCCGGAAAACGCCACAGGTGGACACTGGGAATGCCTAGGAGCCAGCAGTGGGATAAAAAGAAATAAGTTTTTGGTCTAATGTGATATCTACTAAAAAAATAAATAAAAAAGAACAAAGAGCCAAATTTTGATTCATATCAAAAACCTACCTAATAAATGAGAGGGAGCAAAGGACACCGGAATGGAAAATTGTACATTCCACAGTTGGATAGATCTTCCTCACTGTATATCCCCCACAATAGGGTCTATAAATAAATACAATTCAATTAGAGAAATAAACAACAAAAAAAATTAGTAGATCCAGTGGGTAAAATCTCACTAAAGTCATATCATTAATCTTATTTCCCCCAATGAATGTCCCCAATACTGAGCAAACAATCGGGTGTCCATGTAAAACCAGAGGTATTAAACAAAATTGGTTCAAATGCTCCTCCATACAAAGAAAGCAAAAAACATTTTTCCATATCTAATGTTCCTGCTTACCTCAGTGGCATAGACCTTAGAGTAAAGGTAAACTTAGGTAAACTTCGCCAGCCATATATAGGTATAAGTAGCCAATGCCTCGCACATGTGACACACCAGGTGCTGCAAATGAGGTAGATGAATTACTATATCACAAAGCCGGCAAGACCATACAGTGCTCCCCTGGATAAGCGGCGTGCAGGCGTTGTCCTGCCCACAACATGGCGAGATGGCATCAGACATTAACCAACACACGCAGATCGAGGGGAAGGAGGAGATACATCACGGACGCAGCCAAGGCAGCCAAAGGGATGCCTGGCAAGTCCTAGGGTCCCTCCTCCCCTGGACCAAGAGGAAAGGTCGACACCCAGAATTGCCATCAGCATCGGCCTGCATGTGCCAGGCGCCACCAACAAGGACCCGGGTGAGGGAGACCCATAGTGGTGAAAGAGAGTAATGATCACACTGGTCACAACAACCATCATTGTTCACGAAGAATCAAAAACAGCATACGTGCTGACCATGAACATACATGGTTCCACTACTGTCAAGAGTGCGTGTGCAAATAATCACAAAAGAGAAGACATGATAAGGAATGGATCAAAGAGCTGTAGATGTATAGGAAAATGGACATATTATAATAATAAGATCCCCTGCAAGGAGTAGACAAAAAAAAAGGGCAACAAACAACAAAGTGGCAAAACACCACAAAATATGCAGGAGGGATATATACCTAAGCAAAGCGGAGGTTGGGTCCCTAACATCGCTGTAATAATTATTTTTCCATCCCTCCAGACACAAAACCTTCCAAGAAGGCCTAAATTGAATGGCCCCATTGAGGCCAGGTGTAGAGGTGGCATTGAGTGAATAAATCCATTTCAATTCACGTTGCTGCAATAATTTATTCCAATCACCACCCCGTGAATTGGGATGTAAGCTATCTAGAATGATAAATTTGATTTTTGGAAATTTTCCAGCATGATGACTACTAACATGTCATCCCAGGGGTAATTCCGGGTTACATGTCGTTATGCTGTGAATATCTCTCTTCCAGAATTCCGCCTTCATCTTGCCCACATAGAAGGAACCATAATCACACAGGAGCAGATAAACTACCCCTATTGTTTTGCAATTGGGATAATGTTGTGGTTTATATAACTGCCCTTTAGGGAGTCTGAACTGACACATATAAGTACAACAGTAGCAAGAGCCACATATGTATGTCCCCTTGCATTTTCAGGGGTCCTCACGCCCCCCCCCCTTTATAGTCACTTCTAGTAAGTCAATCCGTAAAGGAGGCAGCTCTTCTAAATGTTATTTGAGGAGTTGGAGATATGTATTTATCAACTGAGGAATCCATGGAAAGTAAGAGCCAGTATTTCTGTATTATATTGCAAATATTTTGAAGTTGTTTGGAGAATTTTAGAATGATTCTAGCAAATTTTTCAGGTTCTATTTCCTTTTTCTTATATAGCAAATCATGTCTATTAACGATCAATGCTTGTTTGTAGGCTCTTTTTAAACATGATTTTGTATATCCCTTTTCCAAGAGTCTTGATCTTAAGGCCGCAGCTTCTATTTTAAAGGAGGCATCGTCAGAACAATTTCTCCTTACTCGTAAGCACTGGCTGTAAGGGATGGACACAACAAGAGGTGTGGGATGGAAACTTGAAGCATGTAGGATGGTGTTGCCAGCCGTGGGTTTGCGAAACAACTCTTTTTTTTCTCAATAACCACATTGAGGAATATCACCTTTTTCATGTCATAAGTCATAGTAAAGGTTAATTGAAATCATTTCTATTCATTCTATCGAGACATTTGGCAAGTAAATCAACAGAGCCATCCCACACAACTAGGATATTGTTGATGTATCTGTACCACATACAAATGTGGTCAGTATACATCACCCAAGGCCTCATCCACCATAAACACATGGTCCCACTCCCCCAGGTACAGGTTGGCGAAAGATGGGGCACAATATGTCCCCATAGCCACCCCCTGTACCTGGAGGTAGTGGGAGCCATTGAAAATGAAGATGTTATGATGAAGAATATAATCCAAGACCACAATGATGAAATCATTGAATGCCCATTCTTGTTGTCCTTGTTGGCTCAATACATATCTAACTGTGGCTAAACCTCTGTCATGGGGTATCGAGCTATATAGCGCCTCCACATCTATGGTCACTAGTATAGCCAATATATCCAATATATGAAGGTTATCAGTGATCTGTACAAGGTGAATGGTGTCTTTAATGAAAGAGGGGAGGCTTAAAACATGGGGTCTAAGATATTCATCCACTAAACAGCTCAGGTTTTCGGTCAAGGCACCATTCCCTGAGATAATTGGTCTCCCTGGGGGGTTGTTTGCGGTTTTATGAATTTTTGGTAGAGTATAAAATGTGCGAATCTTAGGAAAGGAGGTCTGAACAAAGTCCCAAGTGGTTTTAGTTATAATACCGTCTCTATAAGCCACATCTACAAGCTCATAGAATTGAGTATTACATTTGTTCACTATA